TGCCGCGCCTCGTGTTTAGACAGAGGTTTGAACGGCCTGCCTGTGATGGCGTCTGTCAACTCCTCCTCATTCTCCTCGTTTACTGTCGGCTCTCCTCTCGCCTCTTCCTCTTCCCAAACCTTCTGTACTTCTGTTGCAACTGGGTACTGTTAAAAAGATGAGGCATTAGACTAACATCATACAAGACTACATGGCTAAAAGTATGTGGACCCTCAAATATTACAACCATATATGCATACTTAACATTTCAGGACAAAATCATTGGGATTCATATGCCGCTAAAACAGCCTCCACACTTCTGGAAAAGGCTTGCTGAAAGATTTTGGAACCTGGCTGCAGGGATTTGCCCCCATTCAGCCAAAAAAAACATTCAATTGATGTTAGGGATGCTCCTAATGACTAATTTACCTGACAATTAAAAGGAAATTTTAACTTGAGTTTGAGTCTCAAAGTAGGAAAACACTTACACAATAAACACTGAGCACAATTTAGGTTAAAAATTTCAAAAGAAAATATACTGTGCATATTATAGGAGCCATGTGAAATCATCAATCACATTTTTGAGTACCTAAATAATATTGTAAATGCTGATGAAATGTGTAGCACTTCACACTACGCATTGTGAACATTGTATCTTACAAAACATGTCAACTCACTAAATTAAAGTTAACAATTAATTATTAAAAGCAATATTCTTTAGGAAACATGCCTGATTATTACAACAGCATTGCCATTGCATGAACGCTATGGCATAAGTAATAATATTTTAATACCAAGTTCAACTGACTAGTATTTTTGGTGCTGACTGGTGGGGGTAGTACATTTAAAATTTAAGCAATTTTAGGCAATTCTGAGCAACAAGAGGCAGAATAGGAAGACAACAAAAACGTTTGCATTAAAATGTACATTTTACATCAGTTGAGGCTTGAACTCACGACCTTTGACATCAAGGAGCATCTTCTATCTCTCTGAATTGCAGCCGCCAACCTGTAGCCATTTCTCTCTCTCTCTTTCTGTCTGTGTGTGTGTGTGTGTGTGTTTTCATCTCTCTCGTGTCTAGACCAAACTGAACAAATATTTATAGACGGACAAGCAACATCATAATTAAACAGGCTTTTATTTTTAAAATTTATTTTATTTTGAAAATTGGCCGGATTCTCTCATCTTTTCTGTGTCTGACTTCCTGTTTGGTACGATCCGCTCTATCCAGCTTAACAGAAGCGCTCGCAGCTCGCGTGAAAAATAGACCAGACGCCGAACTGAAGCACTGCAGTGCGCGAGCCTCCGTGGGCGCTGTGTGGACAGTCAGTCAGATAGGTTAACATGGGCGGCGATTGAAAACTGCCTCCGCTGCTGGGCGCTGCACTTCGAATATTCCTGCGCCGGAAATCCAGCACCGTGCCGGAGAACTTAAAGCCCTGCCTCTGAGGCAAATTGTGATTTGTGATATTGGGCTTTATAAATAAAAAATGATTGATTGATTTGTAATGAATTAAATGTGACAGCTTGGATTGGCATCAGACTGAACGTACAACTAAAAAACAGTATGAATCAGCGCTGGACATCTTCAAATAACTGCTGCTGAATTAAATTTCCATAGATGTGTTCTAAACTGTTTTGCAGTGTTTCAGCATCTGATATGCCTTCAAACTAATGGATCTGTTACTCAAACTGGACTTCCTGGATTGTATTTCATGCCTCATCTGACACCTAAATCAACACCCCCCCCCCACTAGAGGGTTCCTGGCACTGGTTGAACCCAGGGTGTGGAGTTTGCATATTCTCCCCATGGCTCCCTGGTTTTCTCTGGGTATTTTGGCTTCCTCCCACAGTCCAAAGACATGCGGTTAACTGGTGACTCTAAATTGTCATAGGTGTGAATGTGAGTGTGAATGGTTTTCTGTCTCTATGTGTCATCCCTGTGATAGTCTCGAAACCTGTCCAGGGTGTACCCTGCCTCTTACCCTAAGCGGCTACAGAAAATGAATGAATGTTTCAGTCAAGACCAACAGTAATGTTTATGTAGTGCACATAACCACAAAATAGGAAAACCTCTTCCATTTTTCTCACATGAGGTGAAGACTGACCTGTGCGAGGTAGTCTCTCATGTGTTCCTCCAGGTACTCTGGGACTTCCAGGGAGAGGGGGTGTCTCTCTCGCTCTCCTGCCTCCTTCACCTTCTCTCGATGGTAGCTGGCGTGAGTCAGTGGGTTGTTGTTCTTATCCAGCAGCTCCAGCTCCTGGACCAGGTGATAAAATGCATGTTCTAAAACCTATCTCTAAATTGTATGTAAAAGGTTTACTAGTTGTTGTTTTTTTTTATATACAACGTTATCTCACCTTCAGTTTCATGCAGGCGAGAGCTAAAGCTCTCTTCTCTGCTGTCACTCGGTTCCCCGCTGTGGCGCAGAACATCATCTTCTCTGGCCAGTGCAGTGTTACAAAACACTTCTTCAGCTTCCCTCCTGTTGTTTTGACTTGCATTTGCTCCTGTAAAGATAGGGAACGACAGACAGTTTAGAATACAGGATGAGTAAGGAGCTTAGCTTTCATTGTGCAAAGGATGATGAGCTACCAACCCTGATTCTGTTGGATGACGTGGCCACCTGAAGGACCCTGGTGAGGAGAGATTTAGGTTGTGGAAACAGGGAACAAGCTTCAGAGATAGTGGAGAAGTCTTCATTGGGAGGCAGACATTGTTTCTGTTCATCTGCCTTGATTGTAGACATGGGTGCATTTACTGTCTGAAAATCCTCCAAGCTATCATAAAGTAGTGACTGTAGCCCGCCGCTTTGCCTGCCAGCTCCCTTCCTGGGTAGCTGATTATCTGGACCAATGAAACCCATTTCCTGTACGGAAAGCCAGAGAGAAAGGGAAGAGATTAGGAGCAAGTATCACTACACATCGAACAGAAAATGAATGTGTGTGTCTACTCTCAAAAGTCTGAGGTCACTGCAGCTTACTCTGAGCTTGAAACAAGCAGCAGCTGCAGCAAATCGTTCTGCATCCACCCTCTTGGAGGCAAAACCCTCTTCTTCAATCTTGCAGGGCCACTGTAGTGTGACAGTGGCTTTCTACAGACACAAAGATACAACACAAAACTCAGTTATGTCTTTAAACTTTAGCTGTCAATGGGAATGTCAATGTCCAGAAACCCTCATCTCATTGTGACTTTAGCTCTGACCTTGACGCCCTCATTTTCCGTGCAGCTGTACTGGATGAACTGGGACAGGTCGCTGACTCCCAGTGAACGGGAAATGGTGTTATTCAAGAGCATTTTAGGTTCTGGAAACTCCTTCAAGAGGTTTTGGCTCACGTTACCTAAACAGTAAAACCAGACGTTACACACACATAACAAGAGCATCGACCTTTAGTTTCCACTTTAAACTCAAGTAAACTGGGAGGGAAAGACCCCGAAATACAAGCATGAATGTTGTGTTTAAAACACGTTGAATGTCCTTGAAGCTCAGCCGTGATGTAAGCTGTCACCGGTTAGCCAATGTGGCTAACAGCTAACTCGTCACTCACCTCCTTTGGTCTGTAAATGTGATGTCCCGTCTTCGTCAAAGCTCCGAGGGTTTGTTCTGTACCACCGCATGCCTCTGCCCCAGTTCGACGTTGTTTTGCCTCCTGTATGAACACATTTGGAAACATTACACAGCGCTCTGAGCCGCACGAGTAAACCGCCAGGCAGCGCCATCTTTAAAACTACAAATTCTTCTTCTGCGGCACCAGTGCTCACAGCGACAACCTTTGGCGAGGAGTGTAAATTACTTTTATTCATAGACCTATCTTCCTTTGGGTGTAATAGGCACTATTGAAACTAATCCCTTAAAATAACATTCAAAATATGTCCAGCCATTGAAAAATAAATATATAAATATTACAAATAAAAGAAAATAAAATTTTAAATAAATAAAGAAATAAATAAGGATTTCGAAATGCCAAGTATTTTTCGAGGGGTACATAACTTTCCCCTTAATTTACACAATCATATTGAACATTTATCCAGTTCCTTAATCATCAATAAATGCTTTTTAAAAGACGTTATATATTCATTAAGTTCTCAAACAGCCTTAAAAACCGAAGCCCTTAATTTAAGTGTAATAGATTTAACGGCGTGCATGACTTTCCTTAATTAACACAATACTTTGAAATACCTGACAAATCCCTTAATGATCAGTTCAAGGATTTATTCATAATTAAAGAGGCTCAAAAATGTCAAAATCAAAACCCCTTAAAAACAGCTTCACTTTGAAAGTTACTGAGCAAGTTAAGTAGGGGGTTTAAGGGGTACAATACTTCCCTTAATTTACATGTGCATTTTGGATATTTATATAATTTCTAATCTTTATTAATACATTTATCAACTATTCAAGGGCAAAATTCAAATCCCTTAAAAACATGTACATTTCAAAAGCCTTTAACTTAAAAGTTAAGTGGGTTTCAGAGGGTATAGAACATTTCCTTTTATTTACATGGTCATTTGGAATATTTGTCAGTCTTTGAGTTATTATTATCATTATCATTATTATTTTGTTTTACGCTGCATACATACATTTATCAAGGTCTTAAATTTTACCCCTGAGATCCAGAGATCCTGTGAATGGTCCATCAGTGAAACCAAATTGGCTAAACCATCATTTACTAAGCCCCTTAAATTGCTCATTTATTTGACAAATTCTCTCTTAACAGATTATGTAGTCCCTCCATCCTAAAAATCTGGTAAAATGTAGAAGTAGAAGCATATAGTTATACTTTCTAGGCTCTGTGTAAGAATTAAACACTTCCTCTTGTTGCGTAAAATAATCTTACATTTGATGTGGCCTCAACAGCTGTGGGACCCTAGGATTGTTGCCAACTTTCAGTGTGTGCGTTATTTGGATGTCTCAGTTGTGTACATACTGTATACAGTCTGATTTTCAGCAGTTATCTGACTTATATGTTGGCTCACACCTGGAAAACATGAGAAAAACTCCCAGGCTGTGTCTGGTGTCGTCTGGACTGCTGCCCATAAATAGCTCTGCATGATAAACCGGCTCTTTTGGACAAATAAGAGATGGAACTGGTACTTGTGCTCCTCCTGCTTGTTACAACGGGTGAGTTAATAAAACACATTCATTTACTGTTAGAGTTGGAGATAAAGTTAATACATGAGGTGAGTAAAGCAATCTCACTGTTTCTGTCTCTCCCTGTGTTTAAGTGTCTGGGTGTGGTGTACCCAGCTACAAGCCCAACACCGGCCGCGTGGTGAATGGGGAAGAAGCCCGTCCATACAGCTGGCCATGGCAGGTTTCTCTGGAGTCATTCTTCCCCACTTGTGGTGGAACTCTAATTGCTCCTGACTGGGTCTTGACTGCTGCACACTGCATCACGTGAGGAGAAATTTATTTGTGGCATTTATATCAGATTAACAATTGTTTTCAGATATTTACTTTAAAAACTTCCTATCCAGATTCCACACATACAGGGTGGTTCTTGCTGAGCATGACATGAACAAGGAGGAGGGACCTGAACAGTCCATTATGGTGGCGAAAATGTTCATCCACCCCAAATGGAACGACAACTGTGTGTCTTGTGGGTACGTTATCATTTACATCAGTAAATATGTCCTTGGAAAAAGCCCTGAGAGTTTCTAAATGATTGCTGTTGAAAAAACAGGCACTCAACGTCATTAAGCAAACTCTGGGCAATTTAAAAATATAGCTATTGATATGTTCAATGCTTTGTGTTTCCTCCTGTTATGTAGGAATGACATTGCCCTGCTAAAGCTGGAGAAAAGTGCTGTTATCAATGACAAGGTCCAGCCGGCTTGCCTGCCACAGCATGGTGCCACTCTCGCCCACAACCAGCCCTGCTATGTCACAGGCTGGGGTCGTCTCTCCTGTAAGGCCTGCTGCCAAATCTGCTAACCCCCAGCTCAATATTTAAAAATCAAATATATTTCAGATATTACTAAAATGCCCACGTGCTATAATTTTCTCTGTAGCCGGTGGTCCTCGGGCGACTACACTCCAGCAGGCCCTACTCCCTGTGGTGGATCACACTGTCTGCAGTCAAAGTGACTGGTGGGGCAGCTCAGCAAAGACAACTATGGTCTGTGCAGGAGGAGAAAGCAAGTCAGCCTGCCACGTGAGAAACAAGCACACAACTCCATGCTTTGTGTTAAACAACACCACCATTGTCTGTTGCTCTAATATCTGTCATTACCTTCCAGGGCGACTCTGGAGGCCCACTGAACTGTGAGGGCAGAGATGGTAAGTGGTATGTGCAAGGAGTGACCAGTTTTGTGCACGGAAAGGGCTGCAATACTCCAAAGAAACCCACTATGTTCACCCGTGTGGCCACTTTCATACCCTGGATCAGTGAGGTGAGGGAAGACACAAATGGCATTAAGCAACCATATAATATATACAGGCTATTTACAACCTTAATCTTGTGTTATTTCCTTTCAGACCATGGCCAAAAACTGAAAAAGTCCCCACGACCAAAGAAGTGACTGGACAATAAACTGTATAATGACATTATATTTGTGTTGTATTTTATCAAAATATATACAGATTATAAAAAAATATATATATAGCATTCATGACATAAAGAAACAAACATTTTAATCAGTTTAAACACACCAACATATACGTATTTAATGTCGTGAACATCTGATTAAGGTTGTGTATATTTACTGTATGTAACTGTTATTTATTTGAACAAATTAAGGGCTTAATTCTTCTTTGACCATTACCAATCATTAGTTAATGAAAAGACATGTAAACGTACTAGCTGTCACTTTGAGTTAACATCAGCAGCCATATAAAACTTAGATTATATCCCACCAGCTGATCATTTAACAAGATTGTTTCCATTCAGCAGCTTTGGCTTTTAACCTGTTACCGCAGGCTGTGTCAGTCATTGCATCAGATCCTCACGGGTCAGAGGGCGTCCAGGTGAAGAAGTTGATCCCCTGCAGCTCATCAGGTAAGTACTCCTGCTCTACAGTGCCGCTGAAAGCTGGGTTATATTTGTAGCCCTTAGCGTAGCCCAGTTGTTTCATCAGCCTGGTGGGGGCGTTGCGGAGGTGCAGGGGGACGGGAGGCAGAGGGCCTTTGTGACTCCTCAAACAGACTTTGACATTAGCATAGGCTTTGTAGACATCCACAGATTTGGGTGCTCGTGCCAGATAGATTGCACACTGAGCCAAGATCACCTGTTGACACCGGGATAGACTATTGTAAGACTGACTGAAAATCAAGTGGACATGACTCAAAACTATCACTGACTGGTCAGACGAGCCTACCTCACATTCAGGCATCCCGATGAAGTGACAGGCTTGGAAGGCTGACACAGCCTGAGGAAGAGCGGACGGGTCTGCCATTCCTGAGAGACATGGGACAAGAGACGGAGGCTGTCCAGTCAGACTGCATTAAAAGACACATTTTCTTTCTCAATACTTCTCTGTAAACATTTCAGTTGAGTCCAAATTTTCTTTCCTGTAATAAAATAGTACAACCTATTTCCATGCAGTGTTCCCATATAATGGTTGGGGACATTCCAATAAGCAATTGGCCAGTCAGAAAATATTTAAAGTGTACAGGTTCACCAAGCTATGTAAAGAAAGTGAAACAGTACGGTTCAGTTGTGCAATCAAAAAAAAAAAAAGATTTGAGAGCAAAAGTATCAATATTGCAAGTAAAAAATGATTGATTAAAAAAATGCAAATCCAAAAGATTTCTTTGCGAGTCATTTTTTTCATTTGCAAGTAAAAAGTTGAACCTGGTGGGCGGGGCCTAAACTGAAAGCTGTAAGACAGATCTCTATTGGCCAGTCTCGATCAGAATGACAGCTTGCAAAGCAACATGGGAGTTCTGTAGCTCACGGGGAATTCAGTGCAGGAGCTGTGGCGAAAATCAATGAGCAGGTACGTTTAAACATAACTAATAATAGCAAGAATGTTTTATTTGAACTGCTGCATGTAGATTGCTTTTGTTTAGCCAGGGCAGAACTATTCGACGGCGTAACGGTCAATACCGTCGATGCCCTGGGGTGTAGCAGTAATGCTGACTGTCGAACGTTTCCAGTGGGAAAGAGGGAATCGTGGGTGTAGCCCGCTCTGGAGCCACGTCAAACCCACCAACAGAAACTCTTCTCTCATCCATCAGTGTAGGCCCCGCCCATTAAGTGCAGTTGCACTTGCAAGCAAAACTTTAACTCACAAGCAAAGAGGACTGATTTGCAAGCAAAACTTTTTAACTTGCAAGCAAAGAAGACTGATTTATAAGCAAAATGATAACATGTTTTTATTGATTGCAGTTCAAGAAATATGCTCTCAAAACAGTTTTATATGATTGCAACAAAAAGACACAAAAATACCCCCATACTAGCTACTTTATTTTTACTTTTCAAAACAATGTTAAATGGGACCTATTATGCTTTTCTGAATTTTGTGTCTTATATGTTGGATGCTCAAATTAAATGTGGCCAAAGTTTCAAATAATGAGGTAAAAGCAGTTTAGAAGTAATCTCTGTGAGCAAAAACCTATACTGTGTTTCCAACTGTTTCCTTGGCTACAGTATGATTTCACTGGGTGATGGATTTCTTTGCTCCAGACACACCACTACAAGTATTAACATTACATAGCCAGCACTGCTACATGAAGCTATATGCTGATGTCAGGGATGCCAATGTTGTTATTTTTGCCCCCATTTCAGATCATATTCCTCCTGGAACATTTCAGGTTGTATTTAAAAGCTTTTATTGTTGATTTTTGTGCCACTATTCTCCGTCACGGTCATTCCCCTGGCTACAAAGACAGAGATGCTGAGATACAAAAGACCTGGAAATGCTGACCAATTAGAGCACTTTTTGAGAGACAGGTGCTAAAATGTAGTGTGTCAGGCAAAGGGTGAATCAGATGTTCCAGCACAGACAGTGTGAGAAAAACGAAAAGTGTTTTTTGAACATTAAAGCATGTAAACATGTTCTAGTAGAAACCCAAAATACAAGTATGAATGTGAAAATGAGCATAATAGGTCCCCTTTATAAACTGTTGCAATAAGTTGTACTGAGTACAATAAAAGCTTAATAAGCATGATAAACAACTAATAAAAGTAATAGAAGATTAACTCTGAAACAGTGAATTTACTAAACTGAATTTAAAAGAGTTAATAAATCAGTCACAAAAGACTTTGACTTAAAAATAAGTTATGCAACCTTTAGTTATGAGCTGGGGTTTAGGAACAGTTATGAGGCCCCTGTTTGAAGAAGACAGTCTTCATTCTGGCTTAATTGAAGCTACCCTCTGAATAATGTTAGCAAGGGCACAACCCTGCAGAGCTACACACACAATCAGTACAACATCATCTAAAGCTTGTAGCTAAATATAAGTCGAGATGACATAATGGATCATTTCACTCACCAACGTCCTCGCTGGCAAAGCGAACCATTCTGCGAGCCACATAGAGAGGATCCTCACCGCCCTCCAGCATGCGGCCCAGCCAGTAGAGAGACGCATTCTCATCGGAGCCTCTCATAGACTTATGGAGCGCTGAGATACAGTTGAAATGCTCTTCACCTTTTAGTGACACACACACAAACACATTTAAACATGTGGCAAGAAAAAAAAGAAGCATCTTTCTGTAACTTTCATGAAGGTCGGAAGAAACAAACACAAAGGAACAGAAAAATGAAGACTGATCAGACGGTATAAAGCCATAACCAAGGGCACTGAAGGGTAATTAAGATGATTAGTCAAGCTGAGACACAGTTTCATCACCCTGTGAAGAAGAGGAACAGTAAATCTCAATCTTTTGGGACAGCTGATGTGTTATGTAACAGGACACCGTGGATGGGCCGAGGATGAAAGAGTGAGTGGGAGAGGGGCAGGGTGGGTGAATGTTTGGAGTGACTGAGACTACAGTATGTAGATATTGTAACCAGGAGAAACAATAAATAAACATTGATTTAATACATTACGTAGCTAATACAATTACCTTTTAGTTTTATGGATTTACAGCATACCAGTTCAAGCAGAGTCATAATTTTATATACAACTTTGTAAGCACATTGGGGCTCTGCTTAAATGTGTGTACTGAGTAACATGTGGAACTCCTAAGCAACCATAAGCACGGCTATAAACACCCCCAGGTTACACACATTGTTGAGGTTTCTCTTTTATCTCTTATTATTCAGTACATTTCAAATGAAAGCCCCATGACCGGACAGTGATCACAGCTTCTGGAAAATAATATAACAGGGCTATTAAGCCTAAAACCTTGAGATACTAAGATGTTATTTAAAGTAAAGATATTGGCGGCAGGTGTTTTACTGAAAATGTTGAGAGGATTCAAAGATGTAGCACTATGTTAATGTGCAGAAATACCTTTGTGAACTGCGTTACAGTTTCACTTCATAAATTCAGGTGTTGTCTGAACAAGCCTATGCTCCAGTCGGCCATAAAATTTGCACATTTTAAAATGAAAACCTTGTGAAAGTCATAGTGAAATGGAGATGAACATTAATTACCCAAATTAACAAAACAACAACAACAACAAAAAAAACAAACAAAAAACTGTTTTTAAACTACTGCCGTAGCCAAAATTTCACCATCAAGTTGGAACAAAATGAATATTTATAACCTGTGTATTACAGAATAAGCTGGTAATCAGGAACCAACAATTCTAAGTTACTTTGGTAAATCTAAAGTGCACTGAAGTGGCCCACCACAGCTCTCAGATCATAGTGGTTCACACAGGCAACCTTCGGTTACTAAAAAACTATCTGGGCTTACCAGCTTTATCATAGAGAATATGGGACCTCTGAAGACCTTCCTTGATGTGCTCCTCCTTCACCAGTATTTCCTGAGAACCATCTTGTCCTGATGGCTGCGCCGAGCTCAGCTGGGCCTGAACAGCCAGCTGCAGACTGTTGAGTCCCACTCTCGCGTCACCATCACAAAGGTATGCGATGGTGTCCAGAGCTTTTTGTTCAATGAAAATCTTTGGCCTGAGAAAACAACAGATATACGGTATCAGTGACATTACTTTAAAACATAGTCCTTTTTTTGTAAGGAAGTAAGACATAAATATATTCCATATCAGATAATTACATCAGATGTCCTTGCCCAAGACCTCGTCACTGTCATCTCAAACCGTCCTTGTCGACAAGCTCTCGAGGGCGCCACTGTTTTTACCTCCTTAGAACCCCGAGCGCCTCAAATGGCGACAACATTTGAGCCATAGGCAGCTCTCCTCAAGTATTCACAGGAAGCAAAGCATCATTAATAACCCCGGTGTCTTCCTTAATGCTAGCACTTCAACAACCTTCAGACTGCTATGATAACTGCCCAGCGATAACCTTTTTTCCACGTACAGCAAAAACTGAAGGAGAAACAATAACAAAACACACACAAAAAACAACAAACTAGAATTACCGGCTTGTGTTTGTATGCTTCTGATGGTGCTGAGGCATAAAAAACACTATTAGTATTTAGGCAAAAGGTGGAGCTGCAAAAATTAATCAATTAACTGTCAATT